TATGATTTCATACTTTATACTTGACATGTATATTAACCAACACCAGAGGGTGTGTCATAATGTTTGTACATCTCCTAGGTCAAACATTAAGGTCAAAAACTTAAGTTTCAGTTGACAACCCCATGTCCTATGGTACAGATCATGTGTGCTCTATATCTTGAGAAACGTTATGATTTCAAAGTTATACTTGACATGAATGTTAACCAACACCAGAGGGTGTGTCATAATGTTTGTACAACTTCCTAGGTGAAAGTTCAAGAACTTTGGTTTCAGTTGACAACCAAATGTCCTATGGTAAAGATCCTGTCCGCTGTATATCTTGAGAATCGTTATGATTTCAAAGTTTATACTTGACATGTATATTTACCAACACCAGAGGGTGTGTCATAATGTTTGTACATCTCCTAGGTCAAATATTAAGGTCAAAAACTTAAGTTTCAGTTGACAACCCCATGTCCTATGGTACAGATCATGTGTGCTCTATATCTTGAGAAACGTTATGATTTCAAAGTTATACTTGACATGAATGTTAACCAACACTAGAGGTTGTGTCATAATGTATGTTCAACTTCCTAGGCCAAATATAATTCTTTAACTAAAAAACATAGAATAAAATCACTCTCAGCACATAACGAGACTATCTAATAACTTAAAAAAGTGCTTCATATCAGCTTATCCATACAAATGTTTTACCACACGTTATTTACAGCGGGGCCCACAGAGATTGCTCCCATCTCAATGACGTCTACTTTTTTTTCTGTTTGCATTGTGATCGTCTACAAATAGAAACGTGTATCCTTAAGGAGAATTTCGGCGTCTACACCGGTGTGCCAAAAGATAATTTCGGCATGCGCACGATGGTGCCAAAAGGGCACAACATTCGGTTTTAATATCTAAGTCATTTTTTAAAGAAACTTCATAGAAAGCAATACTGAATTTATTAACCCCCCCCTTTTCCAAAAAAAAAGAGAAAAAAAAAGAACATCAAATTTTCCCTAGCTTATCTTGGCTTATTCTTAATACACAAAAGGAATGTGACTAATATGTACTTCTAAACTATTAAGTCTTTTCACTTTCAAATCATATAGATTAGAAATACAATTTACATATAATATCATATTTCATAATGAAACAGATAAACAAAAACAAAAAAGAAATTTGAAATGAAAAATGAAAGACTTTTATTTCAATACCAAACTTTGAGACAACCCAGAAAATACCAGATTCTTATATTTTTCAAAATTGGTCAACAAATAAACTGTTTTTACATAAAATATATGCAACACACTGAAGGTGTTTGTAATGCCAGTCATACCTATTTTTTACATATATATTAACAATAACAAGTAACTAATTAGAAATGACTCCCAGAAAAAAAAAACTGGTGAAGAGTTGTTAAAACCAATGGTTAAAGGCTGAGTGCACACTGTACAGCGTTAACGATTCTCAAAAATATAGTTTTTTCTACTTCTAATTTATTTTTCTCAAATGTTCCTCAAACAGTAAATTTAAGGATGTAGTCCGGTGAAATTAAAAGAATCTGAAATTTAAAATTGATACTCAATATCAGAAGAGCATTAGTTTATTAACAAAATAATATAAAAATATTGATAGGTTATGGAAATCTTTTTTCGAGATGTTTGATTTGATAAAGAAAATGCGGGAAAAGGCTGACTTTGACTTTTACCTTATATTAAGCATTGGCCTTTTTTGGGGTCTCAAATCGTAAGAAAAGAAATCTAGAATATGCTTAAATTTTGGAATCGATCTTTTGTGAGCTATTGAACTCTTTTATGAAACGAAAATTGGGTGATATTGGTCAAAATTTTTAACCCTGTATCGTAGGAAAAACCAAGGGAGTCCGAACAAAAAATCCTTAACCTGACATGACTGCATCCTTAAGTTTAAACTCCATGATTAAATGATAATGTCCACACTAAACGTCAAGAATGCAAAATTTCCACAAAACTGTAAAACAAAGGAACAAACATGAAAATAGTAACAAGTTAATAGTATTTGGCCATTGTGTGGTAAGCTGTAAAGCACTCAGTTTCCCAAGAGACACTTTCTTCCAATACACACGACACCATAATTTGTTTCCAGCTATGTTCGGCATAGTTTTTCGGATAGTTAGGCGCGAGAGTTTTTGTGTAACAGATTGACGACCTCTAGCACCAATGCCACAATACCAATCTATCAAACTAGATGCAATGTCGCATGAAAATTAAAGATATGTCATTGCAAGTTTGTTTTCAATTGTTTGGTGGTCTCAATAGAAATAGTCTGTACGCATCATATTTCAAAATGTCTAGAATACACGTTTGTATCATTTTTGGTTTTTTTGGTTAAAGCAATGATACTGCACATATTGATCGGCATTATCTACCCCACCGGTGTATTTGGTGTAGTTGACTATAATTTTAGGACACGGATTATCAACTCTTTTTGGTAAAACTGCTTATCCCCTCTAATTTCAATACCAACTGGGCGTTTAATTAAAAAAAATTGATGGAAGGCCACTCTTATTTTTACGTACTGTACCGCAGATTGCGTGAAGGGAATCATGCACTCGTTAATAGACATCTGCCGATTGGGAACAAATTCCCTTTTCATTGATAAGCTGATTTATATCTAAAATATTCCTCATTTTGTACAAAACATCATATGGTGGTTCACCTAGTTGTGCAGCAGTGTTGTTATCAGCAAAGTATAAATAACGCACGATTTGCATGAATCTGTTTCTCCCCATTCTTTTTCGAAAAATAGGAGATTCAATATTTGGATCTGTAGACCAGTACACCTTTATCTCAGGTTTTCCATCAATACCCATTAAGAAAGCTTTCATTTCAGTAAGAGATTCTGGTTTAGACAATGAAGACTTGTTCCCATCAGGGTTGTCAGTTATCTGCTGTGCAACAAACCTGTCAGTCTCACTTATTATGTACTCAAATATAACGTTATCTGGGAAAAGTTGGTAAAATCAATTGGTCCCTTGTCTGCATTTTAAATAGAGGCTGGGCATGTTTCCCTACTAGCTGGACCTTTAGGCATGAATAAATGTGGTAAACACTTTTCATGACTTTGGAAATATTGATGCCAGTAGTCAGGAACAATATCTAATTAGTTATCAAAGGTACCAGGATTATAATTTAATACGCCAGACGCGCGTTTCGTCTACATAAGACTCATCAGTGACGCTCAGATCAAAATAGTTATAAAGCCAAACAAGTAAAATGTTGTGCCAAATACGGCGATGGTAATCAAATCTAAGTCTGGCATTACCTGGGAATTGTTTGGAAAATAGGGGCCTGCTTTTGATGCCTCCGATTCGATACCGTAGAACTGCTTGGTCGATTTCATCGGCCTCGTGACCCAAGAATTCCTCGTCGATAGATTCAGATATTTTAATTGTATTCTTTGTTTACAGACGACATTTTTCAATCACATGGTATACATGCATGTTTGAAAAAGGGAATCCCAATTTTTAATTGGATAATGCAAGGTCAGAGTTATTAATAAAGGGGAATATTTTAAAACACATTCCGCCGTTCATTGAAGATAGATAATAAACAAGTTTATATTGTTTTTTTCATCGTAAAATTGGGAGAAAATATGTAAATCCATGCATGATAATACTCTAGCTGTCAGTGGAATATATAATGTAACTTTAAATAAGTTATTAATTTGGTTGATAAAAATAGTAAATACGGTATTACGTAATTATATGCAAATGGATTCCGAGAAAACACACTTTATCTTCTGTGTACTGGAGAACCACGTGGTAGTATGAAAACAGTGAAGTAAGTTCTTTCAATTTTCTTCAAATTGCACTTCGAGAATGATAAATTTTACTCGCACCTGCTTCGAAATTTCAAACACGTATTTCCAGTTTCAGATGATACCTAAGCTTAATTCGGAAATAATTAAGGATGGATATTACATATAGGTGGATTACTACAACTCTTCGTGGCATTACGTCAAAAATTCTCGTTTAAAAACAGTTTTTTGTGACGGCAAATCATCAATCCCATGATCTAAATTTAAGGTAACTATAGCAGTCGGTTTGTATTGGTATTGAAAATGGCGGCTAAACATATACACACATAAAACAATAGATTTCTGATGAACACTAACGAAACAGTTACCAAACAATACATCTACACATGTAAAAAAGTATTTATATATAGGTTAACATAGTACGTTCTCTAAGAACGCTTTGTTTGTTTATCCAAACCATTTCGTTCAGATTTACGGAGGATAAACGCTTGTGAAATGGCAGCAATAGACGTTCAACATTGAAATTTTTGGGTACAGGTGCATGTTATTTGTAATTGAAAACAGACATGTTACTAAAAATAATGATAACTGAATTAGTCCATAACCTGTGAAAATATCGCCAATCCAGCCTAGTCTTTTGACGTTGAATTCAGAAATGGCGCAATGTATTCCCGCCATTTCAAATGTGTAGGCCTAATTTGAAATATCTCTTTCGAGTACGGTGACCCCACATTTTTTATCTACTTATTTTGTTTTATTAATAACAAGAATATTCCATTGAATTCTCATCGTGATTTTTTTTTTTAAATTTGATGATTACATATTTTTTACCATAAAAATGATTATGGCATCATATAGTTATCATTTGCCCCCTTCTAGAAGACCATGCTATCAATAAAATATTTATTACAAAGTTAACACGAAAACTATTTTCATGTGATTCGGAATTTTTATAAAGTATTTAACTATCCATAACTACAAGTTTCGATTTCCAAATTATATGAAAAGATGGCGTTTGTTTAAAATTGAAAACGAGGTTGGTAACCCCAATTTTTTTATTGGCTAATTTTATAGCCTTTACTTAGCCTAGGCAGAAGTGAAAAATTTAAAGGAGGTATTATTGGTTGATCGGAATAGAAGGATTTGTCTTTAAGTTTACAAGCTGCTTATTTTTTTTCATTATTTCTAAATAATAATAGAATGGAACAACGTCTAATTTACAGGCGTCATGCAAAAGGAGAGGTGGATATCTTGTAGAAATTGAAACCAAAGCGGAAAACGACTTTATAAAGAAACTGGCACAGAAGGTCAAAAAAGCACGTAAGCATTTTATCAATTTACAAGTTTAGCGTTTAAAAAGTTGATGTCAGCAGTATTCACATTACAAATGAAACAGCTATCCACCGAGACCAAAGAATGAGGATGCATGTTTGTATCAAGCTGTCTTATCATCTTGTGCCCCTGGCGGTGACTTCTTGGTAAACCATTGTTAATTTATATTCAAAATGATTGTTCTGACTTAATGATCGAATAATTGATTGATTTAGATTTTCTATATATAGTATCTTTGATTTAAATGCATACAGGGAATACCAGCCATACTTATTTTAAACTTTAGGATTTTTCCTACTCTTGTTTTTGACTTTTGTCAGATATTTGGGATTCTCTAGTTTTATGCATGTAGTGCCAATACAATTTAAGGGTTAAAAAAGCCATTTTTGAAAACTCATAAGATCTTTATAATTTTTTCATAGTTATTGAAGAAAAATAAGTTGCAAATGTTAAATGTAGGAAAATTCTAGAGATAATCATTTCCCGCCAAATTTCAAAATTTATTATATATCAAAAAAAAGGACACAGACCTGAAATGTTTTTCTACTTTTTTATACATGCAAACAACAAAAGGAAATTTCGAAGTTTAAAATACTCATTACTTCAGAACTGTGTGAGTCCAAAATTCATTAACTTTCTGTTACAACAGCCAAGACGATGATATACGAGTTGATTTCCAAGCTAAATAACTCGAAGGTTCCTGACTCATTGAGTATTGATAGATTATCGATGGTTTCTCAAACACTAGTCGGTTTCTCAGCTACGCAGGTAGGTTAATGTACTTTGAATAAAAAATGGCACTGAATATCGGTGGTTGCATCGAAATCTAAATCTGACGTCATTTACCAAACTACGCGGAATCTGATTGGCTAGATTGTTTCGTCAAGGTTGAGCTTGCACATGACGTGTTACTTCATGAACACCAGCTGATCGGGCACCTTGTCATGAGTGTCTTATCACGTAAAAACACGTTTAAAAGGTGGATATTGCTATTATTTTGAGGTAAGTTTGTTTCAAATTATTCTATTCTTTTACTGCCAAAGGCTGTATATTTCATTTTTTGAAGAAAGATTAGACATCTATGATCTAGATCAAAATGTACCTTTCTTTAAAAAGGGGTGTTAAATTGTACACTGGTGGTTTTTCTGGCTATTTAAAAACGGGAAGGATGAAAGGCAGTGTTTATAGAAAATGAAACTCTTATGTATTATTTTAGGCAAGTCAAAATTACTTCACTTGTGTTGAAAATAATGTTAGTGTTTATGAAAAAGTGCTATCAGACATGTCATGGTCATATTATTATGGAGGAAAACACTTCAGTATATTTTGAGAATAAAATCTTCAAATTACTGTTAATGCACATGATTATGTCACATTTTCTCTTATGTATTTGATTTGTATAATCATATACATATTACAAACACAAAGAAGGGGGTCAAAGAAAGAAAAAGAGAAAATAGTAAAAAATATGCATGTACATTTGACAAAATTTTTACTGCATCATGGCACAGTATGTGCATATATGCCAATAGCTTGTTTGAATTTAGTAAATTATCGTAAGTAGGAATTTGATATATAAAAATAACTAGCTTTTATAACTATGTAGTATGATGTGACCATTTTTTCAAACAAAATATTAATTTCATTCATGTTATAAAATCTCATATTAACATTTTAATTCATCACTTTTTGTGTTCAGACATAGAACAAAGGAGTAAGTTCAGTAAGGGCCATTGTAGGCCCCGATTATAAAGTTCAATGTTTCAAGATAAAAAATGTTTTAAGTTGACTTAAAGACATGTGAGAAAGTTAAATAGAACTATTTGTGTCGAAGTTTTCTTCTAAAGCGTTGATTTTATACATCCCAAATAGGTCAAGATAAGAGATTTTAGAGAAATTTGACAAAATCTGCCGGATTTCAACCAAATTTAGGACCAGGAAACACAGAGCGCAGGCGTCGACAAACTAAATATTCAAGTAAGACATGTACAATGTATTGACAATAGTTATCAAAGGTACCAGGATTATAATTTAATACGCCAGACGCGCGTTTCGTCTACATACGACTCATCAGTGACGCTCAAATCAAAATAGTTATAAAGCCAAACAAGAACAAAGTTGAAGAGCATTGAGGACCCAAAATTCCAAAAAGTTGTGCCAAATACGGCTAAGGTAATCTATTCCTGGGATAAAAAAATACTTAGTTTTCCGAAAAATTCAAAGATTTGTAACAGGAAATTTATAAAAATTACCATGTAATTGATATTCATGTCAACATCGAAGTGCTGACTACTGGGCTGGTGATACCCTCGGAGACGAAACGTCCACCAGCAGCGGCATCGACCCAGTAGTGTAAATAGTTATCAAAGGTACCAGGATTATAATTTAATACAAACATTATTTTAAAAGATCTTTTTTGTCGATGTATGCGCTCTATGTTTCCTGTCCAAAAATCAATAGATATTTACCCATTTTCATTGATTTTTTCATGGAAAATCAAAATGAGTACTATTTGTGACGTCATGAATAAAACGCAGGCACGTAAATTTTCAACAAAAAGGTTTATTTCCTATCTAGTCACTGTATTAGCTATGATTCATTGTGATATTGGTCAATAAATCCTTATTTTGAAATTTAAGCTAAAAAAGGGGTCAATTTTTTGGGCCTTATCGAACCTACTTCTTTGATTTATTGATTTATTATACTTAAAAAAGTTATATAAACACATTAGTGTTATATTTATTAACTATCAAAATTGACATGAAGTCTGTCTGTTGTAACTATTTTTTCTAGTACAGATTAGGAGGACACTTTTATTTATCAAAAGACATTTTTCAACTATTTGGAGTGTAATGGGCTTGAAATATGCCAGTTATGATTGTATAGTCTTCTTCTTTTGTAGAAAGATTATCACTACACATTAGAATGAAATTTCTAATACCCAGAGAAACATATAGTTTCCACAATGGCAAACAAGAGGTCTACATAATGTAAGCATTGATATTATTATATTTTTTGGGTGTACATAACTTTTATGCTTCACTCAGTTTCATTCAGTCAGTGCAGATAATGTTATAAATACAAAGCAGATTGGTGAAACAGTGATTATGTCTCAGAAAGTATCATTTTTAGTATCATGTAGTTTAAACTATATAATAAATATTGTTATTTTAAAGAAACTTTTTAATTTGGGAATGCATTTTTAACTAAAAGGTTATATCCAAGTTAACTTTTATGCTATTTAGGAAGATAGAATTTAAAGTAAAACTTACTATTTTGTATGGATGGGGGTACTTTATTTCTGTATTCTTTAATTTTTTATGCCATTTTTCTGTATTGTTTATACTTTTTGCCCATTATTCTATATTGTTTATATTTTAGCACCTCATTATTGTCTATTCTTTATTTTAAAATTTTTTGGTCCATTATTCTCTACTCTGTAAACTCCACACCCTCATATATCAAGTATATTTTATCCAATAAATTTGAAAATTGCCAATACAATATTGTTAACAATTCTATTTTCAGCACTTTGGTGACTTGAAAGCAATGGTATTGTACCACACAAGCAAACTGGAAGAAAAAAAAGACTGTGCACTTCCTTTATTTTGAAAACGAAACACAAGGAAATTGTGTATCATATAAAAACTACAGAGATGATTTTGGATCTATACATGGAAAGAGAAATATATATGTGAGAATTAGTTTTTGATATATATTGTAGAAGACTGATTACTGAGCTGTGTATAAGATGATTCAAGACATGTTACATGTGAATTAAAAGGAAAATTGAGGAATAATGCAGTTTTCAGTATGACAACAAATGAATATCAATAAGTCAATATTGTTTCTGGAAGATAAAAGACAGAGAAATAAAAATATCAAATCAGAGGAAATACTGTGTACTTGTTTCTTGTGGGGATTTACATTCAAAAGGAGATTGTGAGATAAAAAATGTTATAATATTGTGATGTCAGATTTAAAATCTATAAGAAATGAAATGTTTATGACTATTTGTGACAATCATTACTAAGATGTCAAAACAGACTGATAGCTTTAAATAACAATATGTAAAGCTGATTTGTGGCATACTAAAAAGTGAATTGAAAATAAACCAGTTGAAAAACATTGAAGTCAAACAATGTTTAGTATTACAACAAATGGATATCAAACAAGGCACTAACAACTAATTGCAAATTGGTTCTGGAAGATGTAAGACAGAGAGATTTTATAGGTTTGGATGTGATTTGGATTTATTGAAAAAAATTGTGTAGCAGGATTTAATATTTTCAAAATAAAGTGTGAGGCATCATTTATATCAGAATTATACGAAGATTTATCAGATATCTTTATAACATTTTTGAAAAGACATTTATTATTTTACTATTCTGACATTTATACTTTATTATGAATTTAAAATTCAAAAGCTTAATTACAAACCATTGTATATAAAGATAAATAAATGTTTTAGAAATGCTCTACATTTACAGGATGACTGGGTTTTAACAAAGATTCATTCATTGTGTACAATATTTATTATTATTATTATAAATGAATCCAAAGACTTCATCAGGAAATTGATAATTGAGGACCCTTGAAATAGAATAAGTAGAAGATTTGTATCTCCATACCTTTTTTTTTTTAAGTCAGTAAGAAAGGAATTGATCAACACCTTCTACATATAAACTTTAATACTTTTTGTCATTTTAAACTATAAAACACATCAGAATGGTGTCTCAACAGTATGACACAAATTTAAAACTATGCATTACCAATACAAATCCTTTATATTGTATATTCAAGAAAGAATGCTCACATTGTGTGTTAAATATAAAAGATGAATTACCTACCCTCTTTTTTTTTTCTTTTTTTCCAGAACGTTAGGGCATGGTATTTTTTAATAATTAACTATTGTTATTGACTGCCATATATGAGTGATTTCCTAAATATGCGTTCATGACATAATCAGAAACAACAGCGCTAGCATGTTTTTATCTTTCATTTTGAAATTCCCGTAAACTAAACTTTGGAATGTTTTATCTCGATTACCTCCCTTACGCCGATTAGTAAAGCGTTTATTTAATGGGCGTCATTTCAGACGATATTACGGACAACATACAAACGAGTAGAACAAGTTACCAACTGCAATATTATTTCAAATCCTTTGAGTTGTTTATAGAAGAATTAGTCAGCTTATTAAAAATTGCTGAACGCTTGTATAAATTTTTGGTTAGAGGTTCGAGGTTAGAGTTCTTTTACCATACAGTGAAATTTCATGGCGACATTTTTAGTATGGGAACTTGTTTTATAGGCTAAATAATATGGGAAATAAGTCATATTGTAAAATCACGTAACGACTTAGACACCTCGTGTGACAGCAGAAAATATTTTTCTGGTAGACGTATCAACATTGTGTACCACATAAAAAATTCTGGAGTTATTTTTCTTTCAAAAAAATAAATAAATAAAAAAGGGGGATGGCTAGAAAATTAATGAAATCCTGCATTAACCTACCTGCATACAAGCTCAACAAAGGGTGAGAAAAAAATTGTAATTTGAAATAAAACCATTGATAACGCTATTTGTCCGCCATTACTGGACATCACACAAGTTCCCGTAAAATTTTGACGTCATAATAAAAAATGTCTGACGCCACAATGGAAAAGTGATTGTTGTATGACGCCCAAAGTTTGAGCGGGACAGATTCTCGGGTCAATCGGGAATAGCGAAAAGGTGTATCTGTTCGTCGCTATTTTGCCTATGACGTCGTTGATGTTTACATTGACAACGGCACATGCGCCCTTAGTTTCTAGCGATCTTTTTTTTTTATCTCAAGCGAGTAACTTGATATGAAGAATTATCACCAAAAAAAACCATGAAAAATACACAAATCAGCGTTAATAAAAATTATCACAAAAAAGACAAAGGAAAAAAACACAAAAATAGCGATAGTTTGTGTTTGAATATCACACAATTGATGTTAGTGATATGATTCTTTTTAGGCTTAAAAGCATTTCAAGTAGTTTGATTGGCAATTCATATAGATTCTACCACTGCATCGAGTGTGATACGATATCTCTCCACTCGAGACCGTTAAATTTTCATTTTAAAACGCGAGTCTGGCAGAGCGTTTTAAATATTTGAAATTTAAATGTAGAGAGTGGAGAAATATCGTATTGCGCGAGATTTGGTTGTAGAATCTGTTTCTCTAAAGATTTTGAAAGATGATATGCACTCAAAAATAATCCTTCTTTTCCAATGTTCTGGAAAAAAAATTGTGTTTTTTCTATGTAACGTCATCAGGCACGGTCGCCTTTTTTGGTGAAGTCATAATAGGAAGTACAGAGGAAAGCAAGAAAATTTGACGTCATAATTAAATTTTGACCAATGAAGAACTGAGACCAAACGAAGAAACAAAAACAATCAACGGATCAGGAAAAGGATACATCGGCTAAGAATTATAAGAGAAATATTTAACACAATTCTACATTCACAAAATATTAAACTGACAATAAGTAAAAAATACTGACAAGTTTAACAAAGAAAAATGAAAAACACTACATTGGATAAAGAGGTATACATCAGAGTATTATATTAAGTACACAACACTTTGACTTTAATAGATTTGGCTCGTTTAATTTTCATAAAAATTTGTGAAAAAATATTTACTTTGATCTGTTGACAAAAATATAAAATATCAAAGAAATTTGAACCACACAATTTACAGGAATAGTTTCACTGGATATATAGCAGTTGGACACGCACTAATGTTGATCATTGAGAAGCTTGATTTCTTTTTACTAATAGTGTGTGATTTAAACGTTTAGCTGATTTTTAAAGAGTTATCTCCCTATGTTGTTCTGTTCCCTTTAAAATCAACAATAATTTTCTAAATTTGATTTCTTCATAAGCTGTTTGGTTAGGTGGTACGGACGCAGCTAAAGAAGGATACTGGGTGTGGGGATCATCTGGTAAACCATTAACTTTCGTAGATTGGAAGAAGTCTGAAAATTACAGATATGGTGATGAACCAAATAATTATGGAGAATATGGTGAAAACTGTATGCAATTGTCCGAATATGACGACTATAATGCGTGGTACGATGTTCGGTGTCAAAGGTTTAGAGGTTTCATATGTGAAAAACGTAAGTTATAAAATTATGTGCCAGGCGCAGATCAAGCCATTTTGAAATTTGGGGGTTGCAGCTTCTGGAACACCATGAAACGTTTACATAATTAAAAAAATTTAAAAAAAAAAGACGGATGATTCCAACCCTCAGAACCCCCCTAGATCCGCCATTAAAAAAAATTATTGTGCCAGAATATTTTTAAAAAATACGTAAAGTGAATGGCCAATAATTTCGTCCCCTTTCTTTTTGTATTATGTATTTTATATAATACCACATGTTTGCAAAGAAAATTATTTTGAAGGCATTTACTGTGGGATTCTGACAATCAAACCCTTTCACGGCGGGTGTATCCTGGAGGACACACAATGCGCAGGGCGGATGTATCGTGAAAGATACACAGTGCGCAGGGCGAATTTATCCTTCAGGATACCAACATATAAACCCAATAAAAGCCGCGAGTTTACGCTATTTACCGTTCTTAAAAGTTAGAATCAACGTTTCAATTAAAATCTACTATATCTGAAGATAGTATTTCAGTTCTTTCAGCTGCTTTAATAACATCGTAAAGGTAAATAAATCAAATCGGAAAATTTTATTTTCTAATATTAGAACCTGAAACACGGTATACGGTTATGTGGTGTTTCAAAATGGCTCCTCTCGATAATAGTCTAGTCAATTTAGTGAACAACCTGCAACTAATCGCAACACAAAGTTTTTTTCTGAAAAACAAGTCTGTTACTATCTATAAACAACATACTAAAACTATACAAAAATATATTTTGCGGAAAGTGGTGTAATTCATGTAAATATTTTGCAGTAAAAGTAAGGTTATATGAGTTGCTTCCCCTTATGTGCCTAAGTTGAAAAAAATAAATTAATACAAAAAATGTTCTGTATTTTTTAAAACAATTGTAGTAATACAATACAATACATAATGATCTCAATTCAAAAGAATAAAATTACAAATGCATCACTTTCCTGTCCCAAAATTTGTATATTTGAATAAAGATATAGACCGAGATTGTGTTCTGCTATTTACAATCCAAAGAAAACCAATCGCTGCGTGATGGCATGGATGCGTTAGAACAATACAGTCGACGGAACTTAATTCGTATCAACGGCATTCCTGACGGTGGTATAGATGAATCTTCCATTCAAACAAACGAGTTAGTCAAAGATCTTATCAAAACCATCGATGAACAACTAAAACCCGAAGACATCATTCGATCTCATAGAATTGGTAAACCACGCACAAGGGAAGGCAATGAAGACGGCCGAGTTAACAACAAGTTTCAGCCTCCTAGACAAATAATTGTCAAGATTAAGGATCATAATGTTAAAAAGAGGATCCTCAGATGCAGAAAATTCTTAAAAGGGAAAATAGAATACAAGTACGTCAGAATGAATGAGGACCTGACCAAGCCGAGAAACGCCATTGCATACAAAGCCAGACAGCTCAGCATTGAGCATCATCTAAGAGACACGTGGACAGTTGATGGGAAAATTTATGTAAAGGACAATCAAATGCAAGTCCATGTTGTCAACACAATGCCAGCGTTCCTACGTTTTGTATCGATATACTGCTGTCCTGGTTCCATGGACTTCCTTGATAGGCTAGACTACAACAACAAACAAAACAGACGCGAGTACACACCACCACAACTCATAACATATGCGGAAGCACGAGCGAAGGAATTAGCAGAGAGAGCATCTTCAAATGCATCAGCTGAAAACACGAGTGTCCAAATTTCATGATTTAACTTTGAATAAAACTGCATATATTGACAACATTTTTTTTTGTGTACGTATTTCTACATGTATTCAGACTATTTGACAGTCCTGTTTCAGAATTTTTTGCTTTTTTTTGTATTGTTTATTTATTTGTTTATTTTTCTATAATTACATGCTACACAATTCTTGTACATAATACATCTAATTTGTAATTCATCCAAATTCCTGTTAAATACACGGGAATACTTACCTTGATCGCTGATTTGTCACGTGACAAATTTTAACGTATTGAAGTTCACAACACAAACTCTCATAGTAAAATAAATTACTCATGCGTGAAAAAGGTAAAACTATAACGGTTGTTTTTACATGATGTTAAAATCCATGGTAAGGAAATTTTCATGGCTAACTTCAAGCTCCTAAAACAACTTTAAAAAAGAAGATATTACTTTCAATTTGTAAATTTTATCGTATACAAGCAATCTTTAAACAAAACGTACAGCGATTTGTACTGTTTAAAACGTGTATGCTTACTATAAATGGTAAATTGTATGGACAGATCTTGTCAATTCAGCGATCAAATAATCAATCAGGCAATATCAAATCGAGTTGATTTGACACGGCTGGTATTAACAGTTGTACTGAATTACTACGTAGATAAAGTTGTATCATTTATACATGTGTATACTCATTCCTCCAAACTACTTGTTCAATCCATGTACATGTGCATACTTTTTCTTTTGCTTCATGCATATAACATATTGTTATTCAATTTTTGTTCTCACAATTTTTTCTTATTTTTTACTTACACTTTTTTCACAAAACAAACGAAATGCTATGGATTATTTAACTTTGTATACGGCCGCTCTCAGTTTGACCAATTTCAGCCAGATGTAACATAACTCATGGGGGTAGGAATCGAGTTATATCGTACGAGAGTTGGCCAATACTCACCAGGCAAAAACATCAAACAAAGACTAAATTATATTGATTTTATCTGTATCAACTTATTTCTCGCTTGTAAAAGTGTCTCGCAGGCACTGGTGTTATCAATTTTAATCTTCACGTTGTCGCATCAACTAGGCGTGTGCCCTAAACCTTCAGAGATGAAACATGTAGACTCAAATGTACAAAAAACAACAAGTGAAAATGTGAATCTTAGACTATTTATTATTTCATTTTTACTATTTGTTATACAAATTTTGCTAATCCTAGCAGGAATAGAGGTAAATCCAGGTCCAAGTGACGATATCGATTCTTCTCAAAGTTCAATTAACTCAACTGACATGTCGGATTTCAGTGAACTTTTCTCAAAATCAGTCTCAATTCTTCACTTAAATGTACAAAGCCTAGCCCCGAAAATAGATCTGATTCAAGCTGAATATTCTGATTTCGACATTTTAGCGTTTAGTGAAACCTGGTTAAACAATAATCATACAGACGAATCAATTGAAATCCTAAATTACCAGCACCCCTTCCGTCGTGACAGAGGTCAACACAAGGTTGGAGGGGGGATAATTGTTTATGTAAAAAATGATATACATGTTCAACGTCGAAGTGACCTCGAAAGCGAAAGTTTGGAAGCAATATGGTTAGAACTTAAATTTAAAGATAAAAAGGCTTTGCTCGGAACCTTTTATATACCTCCTAATAGTGGATCAGATATCTGGGAAAAAATTGAATATTCTCTTGATATGGCGTCTAATGATAATACTATTAATTACATAATGGCCACTGGTGATTTTAACGATAACCAACTAGCCCCTGTTAATTCAAAAATTACACCTTTGTTAAGCCAATTTAGTCTTACTCAAATGATAGACGAACCTACTCATTTTACTGAATCGTCGTCATCATTGTTAGACCTTTTTATAACAAACGATGCTCACATAATAACATACTGTGGAGTCGGACCACCTTTATTAGACCAAATACGTTTTCACTGTCCTATCATTAGTCTTTTGAACTTTCCAAAATGTCGTCAAAAAACTTTTAAGCGAAAAATTTGGCTATATGATCGAGGAGATTATGACAGATATCGTAACATTTTATCTGAAAAAAATTGGGATTCCGTAATAAACTTAAATAACGTTGAACAATTTACAACCGAAATAACAAAAACTATCATAGAAGCTGCTGAAAAATGTATTCCAAATAAAATAATAATTGTTCGTAAAAATGAACCTCCATGGCTAACAAATGATGTTAAAAAAATGATAAGGAAAAAAAATAGAATCCACAGAAAGGCTAAAAAATATAATAACCAATCGGATTGGTCAAAATTTAAGAAAATACGAAATGAAGTTACCAGTTTAATAAGAAAATCAAAGGATGATTATAACAACAATTTAATTAAAAAAATCATGAACAGTAACCCGTCCACTACTAATTGGTGGAAAACGGTCAAACAAATATCCGGATTAAAAACAAACGACGCAAGTATACCTCCATTAATGGTTAATAACAACTTAATATTTGATGAAATCGAAAAGGCAAATGAATTTAATCGATTTTTTTCTTCCCAGTCAAATATTGATGATTCAAGTGCTATGTTACCTGAAGAACTTCATACTATTAGTGATGACATTAGTTATATAGAACTTACGGTTACTGAAGTTGAAGATATATTGAAAATTGTTAATCCCACAAAAGCTTCTGGCCCAGACCTCATAAGTCCCAAATTGTTAAAAGAAGCATCTTCTGTTTTGAAGTATCCACTATGTAAGCTATTTAACTTATCGTTAAGTACGTCTACTTTTCCAGATCAATGGAAAAGAGCAAATGTCACCCCAGTTTATAAAAATAGTAAACCGAATGACGTTAAAAACTATAGACCTATTTCCTTGTTGAGTGTAATTTCAAAGTGTATGGAACGTTGTGTATATAAACATGTTTACAATCACTTTAAGCGTAATAATATTTTAACGAAAAATCAGTCAGGCTTTACACGGGGGGATTCAGCGGTTAATCAATTAATTAACATTTCAAATGATTTTGGGAAGGCTTTAGATAGCGGTAAAGAAATAAGGGTAGTATTCTGTGATATAAGTAAAGCGTTTGATCGAGTCTGGCATAAGGGACTGCTATTTAAACTTCAACAAGCGGGCATATCGGGTTCTTTACTAAGGTGGTTTGAAAATTATCTTACAAATAGAGTCCAGCGGGTGGTTATTAACGGTTCAAGTTCCGAATGGTTACCTGTAAATGCAGGCGTCCCACAAGGGTCCATTCTGGGCCCTCTCCTTTTTTTGATATTTATAAACGATATAATAGAAGACATTCAA